AAAGGAGAGAGAGAGAATGTAGATCATATAAAAAGTATGTATTTAATATGATTGGACATCCCCCCCGGGGAACATAGCAACACACTTGTTTTTATATAAAAAGTACATGTTTTTTTAATGCGAGGAGCGCGGACTGGCTCACGGCGGAGGGAAATTGATATGCACCGCAGATAAATATGTGCTGATACTTGTGATATTTAAAAGATACATAGTCCTTTCTCTCCCTCTCTCTAGTCTACTCTAGCTACTAGTAGAGAAGTAAATATAAAATATGATACATAAATAGAGACATTAGAGTCACACTCTCAGACAACCTAACTTCTACTATAAATATTAAAAAAAAATAGTAAAGTGACTCATGAGTCATAACACGTGAGATTAAATAGCGAGATTCTTGTCGTAGAGATATGATTCTGTACAGAGCATAGCCATCTCTAACGAGTCTCTTTGATTCAAATTCATCATCTAGATTATGCCCCCAATCTATAGATCTACCTTGCATGAAACGAAAGTGAGAGCTTATCATACGAGTCCATTTTAAGTAAAAAATGCCATTTCAACAACTACAGCTACGGCAAGCTTTCACACAAGTTCAGGCAACGGGTTATAGAGAGCGTCCCGATTTCATTCCGAAAACAAAATCCGGGTTTAAACCCCAGGATACACTTCTATTTTGAGCTGAGTACGGTAGTTTAGTAATAAAAGGTGCCGACGACTACACGCAGTAAAAGTGTTGCAACTAATTTGGCACGACCATTTGGAATCCGTCATACGTCAAACAAGTTTTCTATTCGCACATATCGTTACTTCGTTGAAAACAATTACATTGTGGTTATTTTATTATAGCCAGTTGCAATTTGCTTCTTTGTCGATCTAAATTAGAAGGAATCATAGCTGAATTGTGATGGATATTATGTGTGGTATTACGCTGCCATACAGGGTAGCAGCTCAAGAAAAAAATCTAGATGTAGTTGCGACCCACGTGACCTTAAATTATTTTACTACGACATGGATGAAACAGAGGCTTTGCTGTTATTTCCACGGCTGTCGAGCCAGATCGATTTCAAACACTACAAGCGCTTAAGAGATTTCACACTCTATTTTACGTGATCGCCTAATTAAAACAATGATTCTCACACAGACCTCACTGTAGACTTGGTGGGCGGATATAAGCTGGTTCTACATTGAGGTAATTGTTTGACGTCTGTAGTATTGATAATCACAGCACGCAGCCTAGATACAAGTTCATTTGTCAGACAATCACATGTCCAAAAAGTAACTGATCCGTGCTATTGTTCGCACTAGCACTGATGAATTAAAATTTGTTTGAATTCAAATGGAACATTCTAAAAGAGCATATCCAAGAGCAACAAAACCACGCGCCCATCAAGAGAGATTTTGATGCTTCTTTGAAAAAGAGACGAATATCCAGCGAAAATATGTAATAGGCTAAAACAATCATCCACTTCCAAACGAGATGCTGAGAATATAGATTCTCGTGCTCTCTACGAGCTAATAGACTAAGACGTAATGGTACTGATGATAACAGCTGACGAACGAGAACCGACAATTTGGTTGATTTGACACACTTTCCTAATACGACAAATACGAGGATGGACGATCATACGAGGCAGTTGTAACACCGAATATGAATGTACAGAATCAGCTTTAGTTCCTGCTAAAGTTATTACTGCCACCCTTCTTGACCCTCCGCAGGTTGCCCTTCCGCTTCGATTTGAACTCTTTCGTCAACTGCTCCCTCCGATCCATCCAGCGTTTCTTAACCACATCCAGCGTGTCAGTACGCATGAACAATGCCGGCAGCTTACCAGCGCCAGTCAAGCTCGTCGTTTGCTCACTATCCGCGGTTTCCGCACCCTCCACGCCGGCATCACTATCAACAGCTACCGTGGGCATAGCCCATTTGAAGAGAAGTGATCGCTCTCCTGGTTGCGAAACAACTGATGTATTGACACCGGCTACAACTGTTGAATCACCAAACTTTGTGCTTACTTTCGCACTCTTTATCTCGTTTGATTTAACGGCAGTCTTACGGGGAAAGGTCCGTTCCGCATCGCTTTCACTTTCCGATGAATCTCCCGATGTGCGATCTGACATGTTCTCTACATTGCTATCCTCGTCATCGGGATTGTAATCTGTTTTTATACCCAATATAGCTCCCAAGTTAAACGATCCTGCTTGTGTAGGTTGCGCACTTGTCTCCACATCTGCGTCCATGTCTTCGTCTTCATCGCGACTGTCCGCACCAAATCCAAATCCGAAGCTATCTCCTAGAGAGAAGCCAGTATTCTCATTCTTTTCTAGCTCATTATCCCTACCACTCGAACCAGTTGTTAACTTCTCATCCACTGTTTCATCGTCGTCACCATCGATTATTTCCACCCCCCCCACAGTCATACTCGCACCTGTCCCACTCCCCACCGGTACCTCACTCTCGGGCACTTTCATTTTGAAGTAATCAGCCATGGCTGTGACATGCACTGCGAACGCCTTTTCTTTCGACACCTCGGGCAGTGCAGCACTTTCGGCTTTGGGTTTGTCGTAGTGGTCTTCTTCATCACCCCTCTTCACTTTTTTAGAGGGCGCTTCCTCCTCTTCTTTTGCGTCGAGCAGCGCCGTCATATCTTCGTTCGTGGGATCATAATGCATCTGTAAGTGGCCAGTTATAGCCAAAAGTCATCATTTTAGCGATAATTACAATGATCAAAAGCACGCAATAGTCAAAATCATCACAAATTTATATAAGTTATCACTACAGAAAACACCACGTGTCCCGTACACGACCGCACGCACTTACCGTTCGCATATCCACGAAGTGTTTCTTATTGATCTCCTTCTCGTTCCTGACAACCTCGTCATCGTCAACCCTGCCCGTCTCCATCTCGTCACCAAACCCTTCCTCGAAGTCTCTAGCATCGCTCTGCATGTACTTTTTACCCACGCCCACGCCCAGCAGACTCTCCAGAATCTTTTTATTGTTGGCACGCTCGGCCTTGAGTTCTATTTTTCTCACCCCCGCAACATCTCTCATGCCCATACCCACCTCTTCATTTGGCTCATCTGTGGCATTTTCGGTTCCGATTGTACCACGTTCGCTTTCACTTTCGCTGTCACTCGATGATGACTCATCCTCGATGAAGCGACTGTCCAGTTGGAAACGCTCGTCGCCTTGGTAACGACGTTTGAGCTCCAGCAGCTCGGCACCCCCTTTACCTTCGAATACAGGTTTAATAGCAAACCTCTCAGCATCAGAGCCGACATCATCCTCAGAATCACCGCCATTGTCATCACTACTGTCCACACCCGGAAGTCCCTGAGTTTTAGTAGGTACATCCGAACTATCACTATGAGACCCATCGTCGTTATCGCCGAACGGTTCCGTTCCCTCCTTTCCTCGACTTCGCTTTCCGTCACCCTTTACACCTCCCTCCCCACTCTCGGTATCCTCTTGTCGTCGTTTCTTACGTTTATCCTTTTCGCTACGCTTTCCATTGCCATCAACACTGTTTTGTACCCCCTCGTCTGACTCTGAGTGACCCCCTATCCCCATGAAATCCGCGGCAACCGCTCGCTTGGCCTTCGCATTCTCTTTTTCTTTACGTTTTTGCTTTTTCTCTCTTTTGCGCTTCCTATTCACACTCGCAGCATTATCATTCTCGTCATCGCCTGCCATATCCTCATCTTCACTATCGTCAAACCGGATCTTGTTTTTATTGTTTGACGGAGCGTCAGCAGAAATCTTGATAGGCTGCGCGAGCTTAGACGTTTCGCGTAGGGCTTTCAGGCTTTCCAATCGCCTCTCGTTGGCGAGATGTTTTTTCTTTGTCTTTGCAGCGCTTTCATCACTCGGTTGTGTATCAGTGTTCTTGTCTTTCTGTCTCTTAGGTCGAGTTGTGTGTTTACGCGAACGAGAATTGGCCTTGTCATCTGCACCATCCACTTGACTTATCGCACACCCCGTGTCTCTTGCATCATAAGTCGGCTGAGGATCCGTATCTTCACGTGCATCAGCCGCCGCATCCTCTCCGGGCAAATCTGGTTCACTGTCCACATCATTATCATCGTCTAATAGCATCGCATGCTTGGCAGGTCCAATGGCTGCTACCTTATCTGTCCTGTCTGTGTCCTCATCAACTGCTATTTGCGACGATTTATCCGAAATTATTGAGTCTTCGGACACATCTGCCACTTCACTACCAGTCTTTCCCTCATCTTTATCGCAGCTTAAGGGCACTGCAGTATCATCACCCGGCATCTTACCATCACCCATACTAAGTGACTGTGAAGCCAACCCCTCCTCTTGATTAGGCGCGGGCGCGTTCAATGCATCCACACTCTCGCTAGCTTCGTAAGCTGTCGACTTGGCCGTATCGAGATTGCTCAGGTGTACACTTTCCTGGGCCGTTTCACAAACAACTTGTTCTCTAAGAACATCATCTTCCATAGAATCCGCAACGTTAGAGCAAATGTTTTCTGGCTGTGCTTCATCGCCGACCTCACTTAGAGGTTCTTCATCAGTTATAGTGGGTTCGTTCACAACGTCTGCGGGCTGGGTTGCTTCACACTTCGTAGGAGAGCTGTTCATCTTAGCACTGGTTGCTGTATCATCCAATTCGGACGCCACTATATCTTCGGTGTCTGCAGTACTACTCATCAAATAACACTTTTCCTCTTTGTCCACTGCCGTGGTGATCGCAACATCCATATATGTATCGGCATCAACATCATCGAATGTAACATACGTATCTGCCTTCTCGTCAACTACTGGGTCGTCCGTATCATCTCCCATGACGTTCGCACAAGCCTTGGCCGCAGCGCTCCTGAGTTCTCTGTTCTCCTTCTGCGTATTCACTTTCTGCGTTTCGTTCGATGGCACGTTCTTGGCCGCATGGGATTGGGTTTGTGATTGTATCTGTGTCTGTGTAGGTGCATCATCCTGGCCTGTAGTATGTGTACTGCCCTCACCAGTTTTCCCAATATTCTCCGCTATGCTACGTAGCATTCGCTTCTCGTCAATTATCGTCTTTTCAATCCTCGACAAGTACTCGGGTGTTTCCTCCGTCTCCCGCAGTGGTTTGCTTATCTTCCTTCTACCACCCATACTAATACTATTTGTGTTGCTCTGACTGGGCTGGTGGTATCGAACTGCCGACCGTACGTTGTCGGTGGGATCCATGACAATGATACGCCGCTTGTATGGATTGTACATTTTCATTACGGCCACTGCAGAGAAGCAAATAAAGCAATTCACAGAGTCAGTATTTGAAGCATTTTACAGGGCAGCAAATTTTCCAAAACAGGTTTAAACTATCATCTGCACAAAAAAAAAGAAAAAAAGGGAAGTTCAACCTGATCTTTGCGTAGGACAAATTTATTTTATATGGCGACACCGAGCATATTGAATGAGTTGTATCTGTTGCCGAACACTTCACTGATATAAGGTTGAATCTGTGGTCTGCGTGTACCGAAGCGTCAACTGAAGTGGTGTTGGAACACACAGGGTCCAAGAAGTCACCACAAAAGTTGAAACTAACAAGTTTGTCACGGTAATAAGTATGCTATACGGCTACGTATACACATATTACCACAAAATGTTGAAACTCACGACCATGTCTCTATCAAGTTCAGCTTTACTATAGAAGACTTCGCTTGTACACCTGAGAAAAATACAAAGCACACCCGTAAAAAAATGCTTATCTATCACGAGGACGTGCACCATAATCGCAAATATAATGACACCTACACCCACTCGATCGCAAACGAGAGCTTATCACTGCAACATTTGAGCGTATACCTACCTGGTCTGCCCTGTCTACCCGCTAGTTTCCAGCCATGTGATTTCTTAGCCAGTTTGATACCCATCACTACCGGTTCAACAACGGGATGAACAATCTCGCCGCGCGCCTCCCTTTCTCGCTCATCCTGGAGAGTCTGTTCCTGTTTCTTACGGTGGTCAATCTCCTTCTGTAGTGTGCTGACGAATCTGCACACGGGAGATGTAGACAAATTCGAGTTAGCTCAAGATATGCATGCTAATGAATATGTAGAAGGAAGATACTTCGCTACACTCATACATGTATAAAGGGAGAGAACTTGATGATCGAATATATATAAGGTCAACAAAACATTAGCACACAAGAACGTAGACTTCTGAAGTAAGTGCATCTAGCCAGTCTATTTCTATACAGTCACTCAGGAGTACAGTGTCCACTTTTTGTACCTGGGTCTGGCGAGCGCGAGATGCAGTTCCTTGCCCTTCCACCGTGTTCCATTGAGCAACGACATGCATCGCTTGAGACTCGCGTTTGTACATTCCATCTGTACATAAGCAAAGCCACGCCTGGTATTGGTAAGCGTGTCCACCGCTATATGTACATCCGTTACTTGACCAAACGAATTGAAGCGCGCTTTGAGCTCATCATCGTTGACCGTGTCGCTCACACCTTTTACTTGAAGTCGGATAGACGTACTCTCTGGGTATTGTGTTGTGACAAATACTTCGTGATTCAGTTTGAAGCCAGGGATGGTTTACCGGGATATTTAAACAATCGGAGGAAAATACAGGTTCCCTTGTCGAAAATTCAAAAAAAAGTATTATAGCGTGCAACCGGCATAAGCTATCTAAATCCATTTTCTGGACGACAATATACACGTGTTTAGATGCAGGTACACAATATTATATATATATATATATGTACAAATGCACATTTACATATATATATATATGTGAACATAAGTATGTATGCATGTACATATATGCATACTTACAGGTACATATATATATATACATATGTATAAATATAAATAAGTAAATAAATAAATAAATAGATATATATATATATATATATATGTATATGTACATATATATATATTATATACATACACTATATATTACACACACACACACACACACATATATATATATATATATATATATATTAGATATATATATATATATACATATTTACATTATATACAAATGTAATATAAATCAATATATATATTTATTTATATACATACTTATACAAAGAATCCTACTACATGGATATCGCAAAGCTGCAATCCATGGTTTCAATTCACCGATTTTTAAAGTTTTTGTGATAACGTGTTATCGCAGCACTACTGAGTCATTGGGATAAGGGGACTCGTTCATAACATGGTACAAATTCGTGATATCTCCGTAGTAGCAAGGAGATGAACAATTCCTACTACAGGGGTATCATAATATATACGCAGGCAGACATACGTACAAACTACATACACACACACATACATAACATACAAACTACATGCATACATACATAAACACATATTTATATATACACATCCATGTATACATACGTATATACAAACGTATATATATATATATATATATATATATATATACTATATATATACAATAATATATATANATATATACTAATATAATATATATATATATACTATAGTACTAC